CTTCCTTAAGGCTTTAACTTCCCTTGGTAGTTAACTGTTACTCTTCTACAGAATAGGCAAGGACAGAATGCTGAAAAATATTCAAAATCAAGTGCATTGTATGCATCGGTTATATTAGCAGGGAAAGTAGCTTTGGAAAAGTTAGGCAACTTCCATTGAGCCTAAACGTCCATCTGACAAGTACACTTTCACAGACAAGTATGTTTTCATATATTTTCAGCCCTTGTTTCCTTGAGACCAGTAAGGATAGTACTGACTTCTCATAATTCTGAAATACTGGTTTTCATCCATGTAAAAAATCTCTTAATATGGTATGCATATAGGTGACTATATTAGGTTAGGTTTTACAGATTATTTCATAAATGTGATTCATATACATTTCTTTCCATGTAAAAACAATGTATCTTGTTTAATTATGCTAATATTGAGAAGAACAGATAAACCTGCCCACCAGGTTTAAAAATAGAAAATCCAAGTCATCCTGTCCATCTGGCACCACAGCAACAATTTTATTGTAGGTTTTCCATCTTTATTTTTTTGTGATTAATTCTATGAAGTTCTAGTGACAATTCCCGTATTTGTCACCAGATGGCACTGCAATGACAGTATCTTACAACGACTCCTCATGCTCGAGTGGTAGCATAATGCGGTCATCCTCAGATAATCACAAAATATGCACCACTTCGTCAGGTTGCGTTAAGCATTTATTTCTCCACGCTGTTACGTTTATACCACCAGGCTTACTGGCACGGCTCTGTCAGCTACTGTTTTCAGTATTCTTAGCCAATTTAACTTTGTAAGAAAATCTCAGTAGTTGGAGACCAAAACCTACCCTAAGCTTCATTTGTCCAAATACTGCCAGGAGTAACACTGCAGGCAAGCGTGGTCTTTAATGGCAAGAGATGAAGGGCAGCAGCAGCTCCCACCTGTGTCAGGTCATGCGCAGAGGTGTGCCTCAGTTCCCTGGCCTTGCAGTTCTGAGCAGGGTCCCAACCTCAGGCCATCAACCACTGCCTGCTGAATTCCCTGCTTTTTCAGGGCAGAATTTCATGCTTTCCCTTGTTTCTCTCCCCCTCCCAAATGGAGCATACCCCACCAGGCCCTAATTTACCTCTCAGCTCTAGTGCTCCCTGATATATTCTGTCATGATCTATCACTGTAGCTTGAGTTACAAGTACTGATCCTAACTGTGACTTGTTGCAGATCCTAGGAAGAGAAAAGAAATAAACCTGGGAGTCCAGAGCAGTGTTGAGCAGTAAGACACAACTGTATCTGTTGAGAAGCCAATTTTAGCACTAATACAGCTGTCACCACTGGAGTGCTGTTGTCTGAGCAATCACTTTGAAGTTGTTCAAGGGTAAATACAAATAGTTTGGGATTTTTATTTGCAGATCAAGATGTGTAGCATTTACAAGTTTGCAGCATAAAAAGCTCTCATGACTT